TTTCACACATGCTGAAGAAGATGGTTCTTTATTCACCTGATGATAGTGATGGTTCTTGTTCTCAACTTTGAAGATGGTTTGATGGTCTTGTTTCACCTTGATGATAGAGATGGTTTCTTGTTTTCGACCCTTGATGATGGTGATATTCTTGTTTCCAACCTTGATTGATGGTGATGTGTTCTTGTTTCATCCCATGATTATGGTGAGGTTCTTAGTTTTATCCATCACCTTGAATGATGGTGATGTTCGTTGTTTCAACCTTGATAATGGTGATGGTTCTTTGTTTCACTCTTGAAAATGGTTGGGATGGTTCTTTGTTTCCACCTTGAAAATGGTGATGGTTCTTGTTTCCACCCTATGATGATGGTGATGGTCTTGTTTCATCACTTGAGGATGGAGATGGTTCTTGTTTCACCTATGGAAGATTGGTGATGGGTTCTTGTTCACCCCTTAGGATGATGTGAGGTCTTGTTATCACCATGATGAATGGTGAAGTACTTGTTTCACCTTTGATAATGGTTGGCTAGGTATCTTGTTTACATCCATTATGTATGATGATGGTTCATGTTTTCACCTTGATGATAGTGCTGGTTCCTTGTTTCACCTTGATGAGGAGTGCATGGTTCTTGTGATTCAGCCCCACGATGCAAGGTGTGATGGTTCTTGATTTCCACCATGAGAATGATGGTGAAGGTTCTTGTTCCACATGATTAATGATGGATGATTTCTTGATTCACCTTGTGAATAATGGTTTTTTTGGGGGGAAGGTTCTTGTATCAACCTATATGCTGTGTGATGGTTCACGTTTACATCTGATGATGGTGAGAGGTCTTTTTTCACCTTGAAGATGTGTGGTGGTTCTTGTTTTCACACCTATTGATGATGGTGATGATCTTGTTTCATTCACCTGATAATGGTGATGTTTCTTGTATCACCTTGAAGATGATGATGGTTTCTTGTTTCATCACCTTGAGATAGGATGGTTCTTGTTCACTTGAAATGGTGATGGTTCTTGTATTTCACCTTGAGAAGAGGTGATTTTGGTATCTTGTTTTCACCTTGATGATGGGTGAGAAGGATCTTGTTCCATCTTTGATGAGAATGATGATTCATGATTCACCTTGATAAATGGTGAGGTTCTTGTTTCACCTTGATGAATGGTGAAGGTTCTCGTTTTCATCTTGATGATGGTAGATGGTTCCTGTGTTTACCACCTTGAAGATGGTGGTTGTCTTGTCCCTTGATGATGGTTGAAGGTTTCTTGAATCACCTTTATAAAGTAGAGAAGGTTCATGTTTCCCCTTGAATGATAGTTGATGGTTCTGTTTCACCTTTTTGATGGTGAAGGTTCTTTTGTTTCACACCTAGATGATGGTGATGGTTCTTGTTTCAAATCACTCTTGATTGAATGATGAGAGTTCTTGTTTCACCTATGATGATTTGTGATGGTTCTTTGTTACAAACCTCGATGATGGTATGGTTCTTAGATTCACCTGAATGAAGGTGATGTTCTTGTTCCCACCATGATGATGGTGATGTTTCATGTTTCACCTAGATGATGGTGATGTGTCATTGTTTTCACCTGATGAAGTGATGGTTCTTGTTTCATACTCTTGATTATGGTGATGGTTCATGTTTCAACCTGTAGATGATGTTACGTTTCTAGTTTCGCGCCTTTAATGATGGTGATGGTTCTTGTTTCAACCTGATGATAGTGATGGTTTCTTGTTTCACCTTGATGATGGTGATGTTTTGTTTACACCCACCATGACTGTATATTGATGGTTTCTTGTATTCATTCACCTTTTATATGGTGATTGATATCTTGTTTCACCTTGATATGATGAAGGTAATCTTGTTTCACCTTTGATGATAGGTGAATGGTTTCCATGTTTCACCCTGATTGATGATGATGTTTCTTGTTCAACCTTAGAAGAAGGTGATGGTTGCGTGTTTCACCTTTATGTTCGTGATGGTTCTGTTTCACCTATTTGATGGTGAGATGGTTCATGTATCACCTTGATGATGGTGATGGGGGTTCTTTTGTCATCACTTGATGATGATGATGGTTCCAGTGTTCAACCTTGAATGGAGAAGGTTCTTGTTTCACACCTTGAAGATAGTGATGGGTCTCGATTTCATCTTGAATTGATAGTGATGTGTCTGATTCACCTTGATTGATGGTGAAGGTTCTGATTCGTTTACGTCGCCTTATGATAGTGATGGTTCTTGTTTCACCGTAGAAGATAGTGATGGTTCTTGTTCGTCCTTGAAGGATAGTGATGGTTCTTGTTCGCGCTTGATGATAGTGAGAGTGTTCGTGTTTCACCTAGATGATCACTGATGGTCTTGTTTCGCCAGAAAGAATAGTGATGGTTTCTAGTTTTCGCCTTGATGATAGTGATGGTTCTTGTTCAAACCTTGATGAATAGTGAATGTGTTCTTGTTCGCCATTGATGATACTGATGGTTCTTGTTCGCCACATGATATTGATTGGTTTCTTGTTTCTGCCTGGATGATAGTGATGGTATCTTGTTTCATTCACCTTGATGATAGATGAGGGTTTTTTGTTTCGCCTTGATGAACTGATGGTTCTTGTTTCGCCTTGATGATAGTGATTGTTCTAGAACGCCTTGATGATCGTGATATAACTTGTTTTCCACTTGAATGATAGTAATGTACTTGTTTACATTCACCTTGATGATAGTTATTATTCCTTTTTCACCTTGATGATCGTGATGGGTTCTTGTTTCAAACCCTATGATTATAGTGATCTTTTCTATTGTTTCAACTTGATGATAGTGATGGCTCTTGATTCACCTTGATTACAGTGAATGGTATTCTTGTTTCACCTTTAAGAAAGTGAAGTTCTGTTTCACTTGAATGATATGATGGTGTTCTTGCTTTACCTTGATGATAGTGATGGTTCTGTTTCGCCTTGAGGATAGTGATAGGTTCTTGTTTACGGCTTAATGATAGTGGTGGTTACATCTGGTTTCGCCTGACTGATAGCGATGGTTCGTGTTTCGCCTATGATATGATAGTGATGGTTCTTGTTTCACCTTGATAGATTGTGATGGTTCTTGTTTCGCCTTGATGAAAGTGTAAGGTTCTTGTTTCGCCTTGCTAGATAGTGAGATCTTGTTTCACCTATGATAAATGAAGGAGTTCTTGTTTCACCTTGATGATAGTGATGTTTCTTGTTTCGCTCTGATGTAAAATGATAGTTCTTGATTCGCCTTGATGATAGTGAGATGGTTTCTTGAGTTTCGCCTTGATGCTAGTGAATGGTTCTTGTTTCACCTTGATGATGGTGATGGTCTTTTTTTCGGGCCTTGAGATAGTGGGATGTTTCTTTTTTCACGGAAATATGAACGATCTAACCTTGTCCTGGCATCAGACCTGGTTGCCTCCCATTCCCAGGTGTTGCATTGCGTCCTATGGATTTAGAGCTTTGTAATGCTCATCTGATCGTTAAGCGATATATATTGGTTTAGCGTGTTGTGAATGATGTTTATTATAGTTATAATAACAAACATTATCACTGATGATTACTGACATCATCTCCTTAAACATTGTTTTTTTATAATGTTGAATATTTTTAACATTAAGTGAACTAGGTGAGTAGAAATGCGCAGCGCGTCTGTCTCACCTCGATAGACAGAAGGTCAAGCCTCCAGTACGTCTTGCACTGAATGAACCACACGGATTTAGCGCTTAACATGAATAATAATAATAATAATAATAATAATAATAATAATAATAATAATAATAATAATAATAATAATAATAATAATAATAATGTAACATTAAATTGTTCTAGGGGATAGTGGTTGGTGCTGTCTTACCCTAACTACTTGCGTGACTACTGGTGGGCATGATTTCGCAAAATGCAAGGTGGAGTCTTCGACCCCTCACACTCGCTAAGAGATCAGTACAAAGCGCTTTGTTGTCGACTGGGGAGGATGACGAATGATTGCTCTGGCTCCATTAACATAGCCTCACGCGCAAATAATTTCTCGTACAATGTGATTTTTTTTTAAACTTGCATTTTCGTAGCACTGACATATGTTTGTAGCCTATGTCCGTTATGGACTTCTCTTTTAACTACATTGTTGATCATAACCTCAGAGAGGGAGGGAGGGTTGTCACTATGAACTTCATTCAGAGTATTCATTAATCACTGCTATACTTTAACTAACACATATGCATTATATCACTGTGGACTTAGTTTCTGTATTTTGTTATACTTGGATATTGTTAGAGAGAGAGAGAGAGAGAGAGAGAGAGAGGTGTCAACACTAGGTGGTGTGGGAGCTTACTGTCTTCTGCTTCTGAGACACAACTGACGCGGATTAGTTTAGGACTTTACGTGAATATTAGCAGAGGCTAACAGAGGATAGCAGAGACTAGCAGAGGCTAGCAGGGGTTAGGAGACTTTAGAAAAGGCTAGCAGAGACTAGCAGAGGCTAGCAGAGACTAGCAGAGGCTAGCAGAGACTAGCAGAGGCTAGCAGAGACTAGCAGAGGCTAGCAGAAACTATCAGAGGCTAGCAGAAGCAGTCATAGGCTAGCAAAAGCTAGCAGAAGCAAGTATGTCTCAAATGTTTCACCCTCAACGTAATAATATCAAGTTGTATCATTGCCTAATGAGTCCAGAAAAATTAACTATGTCTATTTAAAGAAGGAAATGAAGCTGATATTGATATGCGTTGTTTATATTTTATTATCACGCTGCTTAATCATCCCCACAGCAGCAGCAGCAGCAGCAGCAGCAGCGAGAGCAGCAGCAGCAGCAGTAGTAGTAGGAGCAGCAGCAGCAGTAGTGGGAGCTGCAGCAACATCAGTAGGAGCAGTAGCAGCAGCAGCAGCAGCAGCAGCAGCAGCAGCAGCAGCAGCAGCAGCAGCAGCAGCAGCAGCAGCAGCAGCAGCAGCAGCAGTAGTAGTAATTGCAGTAAGAATGTCAACAATGGTTATTATACTGTAATATCATCCCCACAGCAGCAGCTGCAGCAGCAGCAGAATAAGCAGAACCAGCAGAGGAGTGTGGAGGGGGAAAGGCGGAGGGGAGAACTACCTCGCCAGGACGCTGTAGCTGAGGAAGTTGATGCTAGGGAGACTGATCCTCTCAAGGTACTGTGTACTGTGTGTTGTATATTGTGTCTTGTGTACTGTGTACTTTGTCTTGTTTACTGTGTACTGTGTCTTGTGTACTGTGTACTGTGTCTTGTGTACGGCGTACTGTGTCTTGTGTACGGCGTACTGTGTCTTGTGTACTGTGTACTGTGTCTTGTGTACTGTGTACTGTGTCTTGTGTACGGTGTACTGTGTCTTGTGTACGGTGTACTGTGTCTTGTGTACGGTGTACTGTGTCTTGTGTACAGTGTACTGTGTCTTGTGTACGGTGTACTGTGTCTTGTGTACTGTTTACGGTGTACTGTGTCTTGTGTACGGTGTACTGTGTCTTGTGTACTGTTTACGGTGTACTGTGTCTTGTGTACTGTGTACTGTGTCTTGTGTACGGTGTACTCTGTCTTGTGTACGGTGTACTGTGTCTTGTGTACGGTGTACTGTGTCTTGTGTACTGTTTACGGTGTACTGTGTCCTTGTGTACGGTGTACTGTGTCTTGTGTACTGTTTACGGTGTACTGTGTCTGACGTACTCCGTGGATGCTGTAATTCGTTCTACACATGCTACCTATGTGTTCTCCCTCCTACATCAGGCATGTTGTATCCAGTATCTAGTTATGTATCATGTAATGCCTGATGGCTACCTCTCTCCACTTCCTTACCCGTGTCATTCCTACAATGATTATCGGCTAATGTATCTTTTTGTACATCACTGTGCCAGCGGTATCAGCAGTTTTGATATCTATGTATTTTTCTGTATATCTTCCTGGGTACCTGCTGGGACCTCGGGGATATTTTGTGGATATTTTTTTCATATTTAGTAGTAATTTTTTTGAAGTAATGCTGGATGTTTGAATCTAATGAAGGAGTTGTGTTTTGTTATTTTCGGTATCACTGGAGACCATCCTCTGGCGTCTTTTTTCTTTTCTGTTGAATGTAAGTTATTTATGTGACCAGTATATTGGTTTTCACACACACACACAACACACACACACACACACACACACACACACACACACACACACACACACACACACACACACACATACTGAACTATGTTAAATACTCATGCACAAACAAATTAGTTTGGTAACAGCGTTATAGATGTACTGACACTGTTCAGGAGGATATATACACTGAGAGGTGTATGTCTCTCATTGTACATACACTGAGAGGTGTATGTCTCTCATTGTACATACACTGAGAGGTGTATGTCTCTCATTGTACATACACTGAGAGGTGTATGTCTCTCATTGTACATACACTGAGAGGTGTATGTCTCTCATTGTACATACACTGAGAGGTGTATGTCTCTCATTGTACATACACTGAGAGGTGTATGTCTCTCATTATACATACACTGAGAGGTGTATATCTCTCATTATACATACACTGAGAGGTGTATATCTCTCATTATACATACACTGAGAGGTGTATATCTCTCATTATACATACACTAAGAGGTGTATATCTCTCATTATACATACACTGAGAGGTGTTATGTCTCTCATTGTACATACACTGAGAGGTGTATATCTCTCATTATACATACACTGAGAGGTGTATGTCTCTCATTGTACATACACTGAGAGGTGTATGTCTCTCATTGTACATACACTGAGAGGTGTATGTCTCTCATTATACATACACTGAGAGGTGTATGTCTCTCATTATACATACACTGAGAGGTGTATATCTCTCATTATACATACACTGAGAGGTGTATGTCTCTCATTATACATACACTGAGAGGTGTATATCTCTCATTGTACATACACTGAGAGGTGTATGTCTCTCATTGTACATACACTGAGAGGTGTATGTCTCTCATTGTACATACACTGAGAGGTGTATGTCTCTCATTATACATACACTGAGAGGTATATGTCTCTCATTGTACATACGATGAAAATTTACTCTGATCCCTCTGTTAGAGATTAAAATATTCTTGAATGGTGGTGAACAGGTGACATGCAGCCTTAATGGCCCTCGTGCAGTTGTTAGGTTTGAAAGATAATTAAGCAACGAAGCAGCTGTCCAGTTATGACCTCATTTTCACAATATAGTGGGACTCAGTGGTCACATCTCTGTGGTGCTGAGGTCAGAACTGTGACCTCCCCACACGTACGAAGGTGGTCGGTTACGTGACAGTGCCTTCTGATGGCTTAGATAGGATAAGCCCAGTAAGGAAAGATTGATTGTTTGGTTAATGTGGTTTAAAGCCTATCGATTATACGAAGATCATTAATGCTTCCTGTCACCTGTCAACATTAGACAAGAATACTCTAATCCCTAAATTAGGGATTAAATTAAACTCTCAGTATATATACGCTGAGAGACATGCATCGCCCGGTGTAAATGTCTTGGAGCGACCTACTCATAACTATCCATCAAAAAGAACATCTAAACTATTTATATATAAAATATTTTTCTTGCTGGATCCTCTAACTAAAGGCACAAGTTTTCATTAAACTAAAACTGGATACATAAACATTATGCTGTTGCCCTATGATATACGATAGTTACAGTGGGAACCAAATTAGTTATGTTTCCATGTCGCATTCCATGACGCAGGATAGAACTCTTATAAGGTGTTGAAATGTGTTAGTCTGAGCTGGGAGACTTGAGTAGAACAACAATGATATCTTCCAGTGTTCCAGCAAGGATTCATCAGCTACGGCAGCTTCCGAAGTCTCTTTCCAGCAGAGCTGAAGTTACTATAACTTGGGAATTACCATCTCTCAGCAGAGTCTGTGTCATACACATGAGAAACGGAAATTTTAAAGATATTTTCATCATACAAGAATGAGGCCAAGAGAAATTATAACTAGGAGAGAGGAGGAGAGAAATATGGAGATCACAATACAGTATATCTAACTGAATATATACATCAGTAGATCAGAATGTGGAGTCATTATAAGATCAAGAACTTATAATGAGGCTAGACTAGTGACGATTTTTTTCCCTCTTCTTTTTCTGTATTTCCTTTTATTGCAACGAAAACACTTCAGTGTAAAACTCTGCGGAGTCGCTCAGCCATGTTTCACTTACTCTTCAACCCGAGTTGTTACTTAGAAATTGATGAAAAGTTGTATCTTACTATCCTACTTTGACTCTGACACTATATTTACTATTATACCCACCACTGTAAAAATCACTGCTGTCATACCTACACCCACCACTGAATGCACATTACTAATTTGTTGTTATTGCTGTTAATAGTGCTAGTAGTAGTAGTATGTCATGCATTACGCCATTCCAATATTTCCTACCATAATAATGTAACTGTGTAACTCACTTAAACTGAGCTGTTTACTGATTTGTTTGCATGTGGGGGACCAATCGCATTTTTATAAGTTAAAGGTCAAACTACTGTTGTATTGTTGAATATTTCAAAATACCTGGCTAGCGGGAGGGAAAGAAGGGGGGGGGAGAGAGGAAGGGAGGGAGGGAGGGAGGAGGGAAGGGGGGAGATAGAGAGGGAAGAAGGAAAAAAAAGTAGGAAGGGGACACCGACTAGTGGAAATAGGGAATATTGAGATAGAATAAAAAAAAATCACAGTACCGTAGAAAGTAACATTCTCAGGCAAACTAAAATTGGAAGTAAATACCAGACAACGTTCTAGTTAGTCCTGGATCAAAACCAGGAAATAAACGAGAAAGAAAATGGAAGAGAAGTGAAGAGACAGCTGACGATCAGGTTGTTTTAGCTGTGTGCTGAAGATAGGGTCATTTGACGATGTTCTGGGAGAGGCAAGCGTAGGTATAAACAAAGCCAAGTCTAAGATTTATGTTGGGGACTAGAAGGCTAGAAGGAAGATAGCTCATCTAGGAAGACGGCCAGTTTATGAAATGGCTTTTGTTGTCTAATATGAGAGATAAGGTGGTTGTTAGTGCCTTGTACCACGTCATGGGGGGAATGAGATAATGTGGTTGTAAGAGATCATAGGTAGAAATGAGGAAATTCCTTAAGAACCAGTGTTCTCCAAATTACCTAACTGCTTTATTCACTACTACTACAACTACCACTGTTACCCTTCACTATTACCCCTTACTCCTGCACTCACCACTACCTAACATCATTACCGCCTTCCCTTCAAGGTAACCTCCCTCCCCACTAATACCCCACAACAACTTCCTCCCCACCACAACCCCTTCCTTTCCCTGCACAACCAGCAACATTACCACTACAACACCCCTGCCTTCCCTCCCCCACCACTACACCCCCCGTCTCCCTCCCCCAGCCTGATGAACCCAGCAGAGACGTACAGGACAGTATCTGCAGCGCTGACCTGCCAGCTCCAGCCCACACGCCTCGCTCATCACGCCCACGCCTCCTCAAGACTCCGAACTGCCTGGGCGTGGGCAACCTGTGGCCACGACGACCATCCGTGTCGTCCAGATCGTGTTCGGACGACAAAAGCGACGCGTCGGAGGTTGGTGGTGTGGGGCGCGCCTCGGGACCTCAGGTAGAGGCCGATTACACTGCTTTACATTACATTCGTGTAGAATTACACGTTCCTTTAGGGCCCAGTTCATGTCTTGTTTACATTACGCTTGTAAAGGGACGTTCCTTTAGGATCCAGATGGTATAGCATCACATTTTTTTTAGAACGTAGCTCCGGTAGCATCACTTTCTTTTTAAGATACAGAAATGCTTATTTTCCCAAAAAAGTTTTCCACTCATGATTAAAATTAGGGTCTTAAAGTCCTCTTCTTATAACATGGAGACCGCGCTCACACTTCTTATCGACATTGTAACAAGGGGTGAGGGCAGTGAAGGTCTATAGGATGTCAACTGGTGGCGATGGAAAATATACTCTCTCAGTCTACAATCTAGTGAGGTATGACATACTAAGCCATGTCCATCAAATCAGTAGACTGATGTAGTCTCTCTCAGTTCAGTTGGATGCTGTTGTTAGACTTCCTAGGAAGACTGAAACTGCTCTCAGCACTGACAGAACAAGAGGCTCTGTGGCTGGATGAACTTAGACTGTGAAGGACACTGATCTAGATGGCCCGGAGCTGGTACAGGAGTTAGGGGAATTTGCCTGCACTGCTATCTACGACCATGATAACACTGTGTGACTAGTTAATGGTCCAAGTCGGACCGAAACGTCGTCCTAAGTTTCATTCTCGTGTGTACGGATTATTTGTGTATGACAACGCTTGACTTTCTGACATTCATTTTCGAAATGCAGCTGACAGACATCTATCCCAGTCTATGTTTCGCCCTAATAGCTGCTGTCACCCTTCAAGTGACAATGACTGGAGAGAGAGGCGAGAAGCTTTTCCAAACTCCAGCTCATCACGTTATACCTGAGCTCCACCACGACGCAAGACAACCTCAGTTATTCCTGAGCTCCACCACGACGCAAGACACCCTCAGTTTCTAGCTCCACCGATGCAAGACACCTCAGTATCTGAGCTCCACCACGACGCAAGACAACCTCAGTTATACCTGAGCTCCACCACGACGCCAGACAACCTCAGTTATACCTGAGCTCCACCACGACGCAAGACAACCTCAGTTATACCTGAGCTCTACCACGACGCAAGACAACCTCAGTGGTCTTGCTGTCATCAGCATCTACCAGGTATTTTCGAAACAGATTTCCTATGATAATAACGATGATAGCTGCATCAGTAAAGACCAGGATGATGGGTCTGAACAGAAAATCTACTAGACCTACAGTAAATTAAAAAATACACTTATATACTAGTTGACAACATTATTCTTACATTACTCTACAGTTGTGTAGAGTTTTTAAATTGATTTATTCGTATTTTTTTTTTCAGTGAGCTGTTTTGTTTGCAGAATATTTTGGAATCTTCATTGGGTATTCTATTACAATTTAAACAAGTACACTTTCAAAGGACCTGTTGTACCCGGCCTTACTATTTACTAAGCATTGACATACTCAATAAAATAATTAGTATATAATCAAAAGATAAGGAATACAGTATACAACGGAAGTTAGATTTATCACTAGAAGGTATACACAGGCCTTTGCACTATGCTCTGAGGATATAAGCCAGAAAGTGTATGGGAGTTCTTGCTGCTTACAGCTATAAACACATACAGAAAACAGATTCTAGCATGACGCTAACCAGTTCGAAGTTCCCGAGGGTCTTATGACCCAGGCTGCCTCAACATACAAGGTAGCGTCATCTGGTCCCGTCTCCCCTCTCCCTCACCCTGAACCAGCAGAACTGTTTATAAGTGTCTATTCACGACTGGTAGTCACTCCGTATTCCAGCGGTGCGATCATTTATGTAAGACTGATCTACGGCGCCCTAAAGCTGGCTTAAGATGGCGTGCAGGAATGTGGCTACGTGTGATATATGTGGCATAAAATATTTCCGCTCGTTGCTCGCCACAATTTATTTAAAATTGTTTCGTTTCGTCTACCAAAACATTACTTTAGGATCTAAATGGTGTAGCAAGATGTTATTTTAGGATACATACTGGTGTAGCAAGAAGTTCCTTGAAAATCCAAATGGTGTAGCAAAGTATTCCTTTAGGATCTAGGTCATGTAGCATCACGTTCCTTTAGGATCCAGGTCATGTAGCATCACGTTCCTTTAGGATCCAGGTCATGTAGCATCACGTTCCTTTAGGATCCAGGTCATGTACATCACTTCCTTTAGGATCCAGGTCATGTAGCATCACGTTCCTTTAGGATCCAGGTCATGTACATCACGTTCCTTTAGGATCCAGGTCATGTAACATCACATTCCTTTAGGATCCAGGTCATGTAGCATCACGTTCCTTTAGGATCCAGGTCATGTAACATCACATTCCTTTAGGATCCAGGTCATGTAGCATCACGTTCCTTTAGGATCCAGGTCATGTAGCATCACGTTCCTTTAGGATCCAGGTCATGTAGCATCACTTTCCTTTAGGATCCAGGTCATGTAACATCACATTCCTTTAGGATCCAGGTCATGTAGCATCACGTTCCTTTAGGATCCAGGTCATGTAGCATCACTTTCCTTTAGGATCCAGGTCATGTAACATCACATTCCTTTAGGATCCAGGTCATGTAGCATCACGTTCCTTTAGGATCCAGGTCATGTAGCATCACTTCCTTTAGGATCCAGGTCATGTAGCATCACTTCCTTTAGGATCCAGGTCATGTAGCATCACGTTCCTTTAGGATCCAGGTCATGTACATCACGTTCCTTTAGGATCCAGGTCATGTAGCATCACGTTCCTTTAGGATCCAGGTCATGTAGCATCACTTTCCTTTAGGATCCAGGTCATGTAGCATTCACAGTTCCTTTAGGATCCAGGTCATGTAGCATCACGTTCCTTTAGGATCCAGGTCATGTAGCATCACGTTCCTTTAGGATCCAGGTCATGTAGCATCACGTTCCTTTAGGATCCAGGTCATGTAGCATCACGTTCCTTTAGGATCCAGGTCATGTAGCATCACGTTCCTTTAGGATCCAGGTCATGTAGCATCACGTTCCTTTAGGATCCAGGTCATGTAGCATCACTTTCCTTTAGGATCCAGGTCATGTAGCATCACATTCCTTTAGGATCCAGGTCATGTAGCATCACGTTCCTTTAGGATCCAGGTCATGTAGCATCACGTTCCTTTAGGATCCAGGTCATGTAACATCACTTTCCTTTAGGATCCAGGTCATGTAGCATCACGTTCCTTTAGGATCCAGGTCATGTACATCACTTCCTTTAGGATCCAGGTCATGTAGCATCACGTTCCTTTAGGATCCAGGTCATGTAGCATCACGTTCCTTTAGGATCCAGGTCATGTAACATCACATTCCTTTAGGATCCAGGTCATGTAGCATCACGTTCCTTTAGGATCCAGGTCATGTAGCATCACGTTCCTTTAGGATCCAGGTCATGTAGCATCACGTTCCTTTAGGATCCAGGTCATGTAGCATCACGTTCCTTTAGGATCCAGGTCATGTAGCATCACGTTCCTTTAGGATCCAGGTCATGTAACATCACATTCCTTTAGGATCCAGGTCATGTAGCATCACTTCCTTTAGGATCCAGGTCATGTACATCACGTTCCTTTAGGATCCAGGTCATGTACATCACTTCCTTTAGGATCCAGGTCATGTAACATCACATTCCTTTAGGATCCAGGTCATGTAGCATCACTTTCCTTTAGGATCCAGGTCATGTAACATCACATTCCTTTAGGATCCAGGTCATGTAACATCACATTCCTTTAGGATCCAGGTCATGTAACATCACATTCCTTTAGGATCCAGGTCATGTAACATCACATTCCTTTAGGATCCAGGTCATGTAGCATCACTTTCCTTTAGGATCCAGGTCATGTAACATCACATTCCTTTAGGATCCAGGTCATGTAGCATCACTTTCCTTTAGGATCCAGGTCATGTAACATCACATTCCTTTAGGATCCAGGTCATGTACATCACTTTCCTTTAGGATCCAGGTCATGTAACATCACAGTTCCTTTAGGATCCAGGTCATGTAGCATCACTTTCCTTTAGGATCCAGGTCATGTACATCACTTCCTTTAGGATCCAGGTCATGTAACATCACTTCCTTTAGGATCCAGGTCATGTAAATCACATTCCTTTAGGATCCAGGTCATGTAGCATCACTTTCCTTTAGGATCCAGGTCATGTAACATCACATTCCTTTAGGATCCAGGTCATGTAGCATCACGTTCCTTTAGGATCCAGGTCATGTAGCATCACGTTCCTTTAGGATCCAGGTCATGTAGCATCACGTTCCTTTAGGATCCAGGTCATGTAGCATCACGTTCCTTTAGGACCAGGTCATGTACATCACTTCCTTTAGGATCCAGGTCATGTAGCATCACGTTCCTTTAGGATCCAGGTCATGTAACATCACATTCCTTTAGGATCCAGGTCATGTAGCATCACGTTCCTTTAGGATCCAGGTCATGTAGCATCACTTTCCTTTAGGATCCAGGTCATGTAACATCACATTCCTTTAGGATCCAGGTCATGTAGCATCACGTTCCTTTAGGATCCAGGTCATGTAGCATCACGTTCCTTTAGGATCCAGGTCATGTAACATCACTTTCCTTTAGGATCCAGGTCATGTAGCATCACTTTCCTTTAGGATCCAGGTCATGTAACATCACATTCCTTTAGGATCCAGGTCATGAAAGCATCACGTTCCTTTAGGATCCAGGTCATGTAGCATCACGTTCCTTTAGGATCCAGGTCATGTAGCATCACGTTCCTTTAGGATCCAGGTCATGTAGCATCACGTTCCTTTAGGATCCAGGTCATGTAACATCACGTTCCTTTAGGATCCAGGTCATGTAGCATCACGTTCCTTTAGGATCCAGGTCATGTAGCATCACGTTCCTTTAGGATCCAGGTCATGTAGCATCACGTTCCTTTAGGATCCAGGTCATGTAGCATCACGTTCCTTTAGGATCCACAAGTTTGC